CAGAATGTGGGTTTTCGAAAGTGTTATTATTCGGAGTTGGTGTTGGCGGTGCAACCGGCAACTGGCTGGAAAAAGCCTGGAGAGCGTTATTGATCTGTTGAGCAATTAAGTTTTTAAGAGCGTCATCGAGTACTTGTTCATTTGCAGCTCTATCATTTTGATTTGCTTCAGATCCGTCTGGAGTTCCTTCTCGGGACTGTCGCTGAGAATGTTGTGGCGAAGGAGGTGGGGTTCTGTCATCTGCATCGTTCACCTGATGTTGTGGATCTTGAGGTGGTAAATTGTGCTGGTTATTGTCGTTTACATTCGACATGATTGTTTTTGATAAAAGAATCAATTTGAAAAGCAGACGATTATCAGATTCCCGGTAGCGGAACTAATTTGTTTAACCAAAAATAGGGATTTCGGTCAAAGCTCAATTTTAGAAGAACTCGGGTTATTGATAATCAAATGGAAATAGAAATTGTTGATTTAAATAATGACTGAATAAAAAACAAAATAAATCAGTATATTTCAATAGTATTTCGTGTCCTTACAAATGTATATTCCTCACCTTTTATAGTTATTTCTAAGTAATACGTTTTTTTCCTTTCATAATGGAGTCATTATGGACAATTAATGGCATTTAATGTAACGTTATAATTGGTAATCATAATTGATTTAATACTGATTCCATAACGTTTTCCGTAATTAGTGCCTATTAATTACCAATAATACGTATCTATTCCTCTTTTGCTACTTAGGTTCATTCTTCTGATGCGACTTCCGAATATCAAGAGGTTCGAGCACCTATCCTTTCGGATTTTTTTGGATCTCTGCCCGTGCTTACTGAAGCTCGTGTCTCTGCAGCTATTCTTTGCCAACTGTCATTCTTTTACCAGTGCACGTGTGACATGTCACCTCATAATTGATTCTATACATGAACTTAATTTTTCCCAATACAAAGTCCGCAAAGAATAAGGTGAGGAAATAAAGACAATCAATAGTGAAATTGCAAAAAGTAAAAGCACTGAAAAATCTCAAATAGCATATCAATTAGCAAAATCGCGAAGGTGGAGAGAGACTAACCGAATGCTATTGGATACAGATCCAAGTGCTGAAGAAGAGAGCCAAAAGAATAATAAACAGAGCTAAAGCCATTGAAAGAGACGACAGAACATGATAAAAGAGAAAAATGAAAGCTGGATGACTTTATGGAATAGAAGTGGAAAAGACAAAAATAACCTCACGTTTGATTTTAAAGACTGAAAACAGCCATGTCGAAACCATAACTTTTCTAATATATAGAAATACCAGTGATGGTGTAAAAAAATTATACATAGTATACGGCGGCGAATCCAGAAATTTCATTTAGGGTGTTCAAACTTGAAAGAACTATAAAAAGTTTCCAATAAAGGGTTTTCAATATATGTTATATATCACTAAAATCTAATATTTTACCTATATATACCGTATAAATTTTCGATGAAGGGGACCACCCATAGGACTAAGTAGCTTAGCCCATGATAGTAGAATACTAAAATAACCCATTAGTGTCACTTTCTAAATAACCTAGACTTGAGGCATATATACCTCTTATATTAATGTTCTTGCGCAAACTGTAGACAGTTGCGAGTATCACACTACTTTTTACGTTGAGAATTTAGTCATATTCCTTAAAACACCGCTAAGTTTTTTGAATATTTGCACCTCTAGAAATTTATTAGGTACGAGCTATTCCCTATTACAAGCAAAGTAGTTAGGCAGAACAATTACTCACGTTTATGTGATTTGGTCATTAATTGGAGAACGTCGATATTTAATAAGGTTAGGTAAACATGAAATTCAAAAGATTAAGTAGGCATTAGGATAGTACTATTTGGTTGAAATTAACAAAAGAATATATATTTCAAGTTGAAGTTGAGAAGGAACATTTGGAAGTTACGAACTGTTTTTGAACATGAACTTCATTGATTGAAAGTTAAAATATGTAAGGGAAAATTATTACTCTCCTCGTTTCAATTTGGCAAAATACATAGTATACTCATCAATTTTGCAGCAAAATCAGAGGCGGATCCAGGATTTAAAGTTTATGGGTTCCTGTCATAATCTCAAATTAATATACAATAATAACTGGGTTCACAGTTAGATATTTAAAAGTATTTTGTGGAGTTTTTAATAGAAATACAAAATCTATGCAAAAGTTACTTGGTTTCCGGGAACTCAATTACTGCAATCTAGATCCTCCACTGAGTGAAATCCCTGTTACACACCTCTTTTTACGGAAAACCTTTTATACACTAAACCTTTCAAAAGTGTGTCTAAGACACACCACTTTTGTGCTTACCAAATTTTCATATAACATGAAAGTCATGCCCTAAAAGGGTCATGACACGTGTCATTGACTTTAAAAAGTAAAATAATACTATTAGAAATTAAAATTAAAACTCATATTCTTCATCTTTCCATTTTCTATCTTAAGCACCATTATTGCTATCACCATCATTGTTTGTGAGAACGTTTCCAACAACATCAAAATTCAATCACACTATCTAAACAACTAGCCGAAAGTAATCGAGCTACAAATTGAGTTCAATAATTCAATAATCAATAAGACCCAATTGAATATTCAAGCTTTTTTTGATACCCCAACAATGGTGGATTCTAGATTTTTCACCAAACATTCAATACTAATGTTAAAGCTTTTAAATATATCACAAATAAATAGTTTTCACAATATTTGGACAATAAACCAACAAAATGCAATCAATTTTAGATCTAAAATAAATATGTTCTTTCAAAAATTCTATTTGGGGAGGAAAGGGAGGGGGAAGGTGGTGAGGAAGAAGACTAGAGGGAGGGGAGGAGTTCCCATGGGGAGGGGAGACAAAAAATGAGATTTTTTATGGGCTTTACGCGCTTTTTTGGTTTTTAAACATGCAAGTGATATCTAGTCAAAAGCAGCGTGTCTTAGACACACTTTTGAAAGGCTAGCATAGATTTCCGTGACTTAAGGGGTAAAAGCTTTGTGAGAACATGATATTTGTGTGGTTATAAAAACTTCTCATTGAGATTTGAGAGTAAAATGAAGAGTTTAAAGTTGAATTATTTTCAATTATAGAAATGTGTCATTCTTTTCTGAACGAACTTATAAAGTAAATGTGCCATCTAAATTGAAAAAAAAAAGTATTTTATTTGAATATTACGCAACCAAATTGACTACGGAAATTCGGTATTTACAAATAGTGTTGTTCAAAACAAAATGTAACATAACTTTTGAAGCCTAAACGGATAAATTATTTGGAGCAAATAGTAAGGATTTGTTCTTTGCTAGTGTTTTTTTTCCTTTCTTTGATAGTGTTTAATGTACAAGACCGTATGTTTTGAGTTTCTTTTGGTGCATAGCTTTATTTACACTAGTTATAATGTCAATGAACTGAAATAAAATCTATATTAAATTATATAAATTATACGTGAAATACCTAGGTTAAAATATAAAATATTATATTTAATATAAATAAGTACTGATTATAGAGATTGGAGGATTGAAAACGTCAAGAGTAGTTCAAGAATGATGTCAGACCTGAAACTGATATCTGTTTACAACGAGGGTTTTTACTTCATGGTAATGGGAATATTGTTGATAAACTTGCAGGTTGGGGAGTAAATGCGAATCCTATTTGTGGTATGTGTCATCCCCGCGGGAAAGAGTAGGTTCAACAGGGTATTGTCATCCCCTCCGCCTCTGGACAGAACTCTCCATGCACAGCCACCTCTCTACAATTAATTATCACTCCTCTTCACCCATACATTGGTTACAACGCTTTATAAATCACACTCCTACACAAATACTCTCCACATCCCAAACTCTGTTGTCATACCTTTCTACCTTTGGTATATTTGGCTTAACAGAAATGCCTCCCTTTTTCAAAATCACAAAACACCCTTAACCTCGACATATGTCCTTCATAAGGCTGCTGAATACTATTACGTTGCCTTACCACATAATCCACCCCCTACCCGAGTTCCTATGCACATTAAATGGCACCTTCCCCCAATAAACTTTTATAAATTAAATTGCGACGAAGCTGCAAAATTGCAATCAC